GGGCAGGGGCTGGGCTGGGCCCAGCGGCTCCCGGCCGGGAGATGGGGCCTGCAGGGCTTCCCCCTGGGCTCTGGCCGGGCCAGGCCGGTCCCTGGCTCGGCTGCAGTTTTTGTTGTGACTGAATTCACCAGAGACTGCCGAGTAAAGAAAGAAAAAAGCTCTTGACCTGGGGCGGGCTGAGACAGTGACCACACTCTCCAGAGCAGCCATGAAGAATCTTCCATCGCAGACAACTCCAGCCGCTGCTCCGGCAGAGATCACAGAACCATCTACAAAGCCTGGGCAAGATTTTAACACTTTCATTACCCAGATGAGACTTTCAGATTAATCCTTTTTTTCCAGAGAAAGAATCAACATGTAAAGAGACTTTATAAACTATAAGAGACAGTAAAGAAAAGAATTAAGCTTCAGAAGAGGTAGAGAATAAGGAGATGCTTTAATTAAGCTGAAATATTTTTCTGTTAAAGCTATGGAAATGGACAACAGTGTTCTGAAAAAACTCCTTTAATTCATGACAAAGTATATTGGGAGGAATAGAGTGTTCAAAGTGTGGATTTTGAGCAAAAAGGTGGAGTAATGATGATACAGTGAGGTGCTGGAACAGAAGGGGAGGAGTAATAGTGCAAGATTTGGGGCCTCTTGAGGCAAAGAGAAAACTTCTGTTTTCCAGGGAAGCTCACAGAGACGGATGAAAAGAACTTTTGCCTTTGAATAACTCATCCTTAAAAATGACATCCCTAGACTCATGGCCCATAACACACCTCAGAGTGATGTGAAATGGGAGGAGAAAATCTGATGACAGATTTCTGGACAACTGGCATCAGAAAAATAGAAAGCTATAACAGAAATAGTTTTCTTGTGAGAAACTCCATAGATTAGCAGAAGAAGACTTCTGTTTCTCTACAGAGACTGATTAAAAGATTCTAGCAGGAATTGGAGGCTGTTTAAAGACCAAAGTTCCAAAGTTTGTTGTCTCTATGTTGTGATGTAAACAAAGGAATGGTTGGGTAGTGGGGAAAAAAAGGGTTTTCTGGAAGTTTTATTTTAGTTTTCTTATTATTGTAATTTTGTTAATAAACTTTCTTTATTCCTTTTAAGTTTTGAGCCTGTTTTGCTCTTGTTCTAATCCACATCTCACAGCAAGAAATAAGTAAGTTTTCTAGTTTTTTTTTAGTTACTGCTTTAAAACCACGACATTTATTTGTTGCGTTGGCAGGGAAATGGAATTGACAAATCTAAACCACTACAATACAGCATGCCCTTTGTGCGATATATTCGGAATGGTGAAGTGACGACACAGACTCTCTAGCCTAGGTTGCACAATAGAGCAAGTTTTATTCTTCCAGATCTTATATAGACGCTTCCTAGAAGGTCTGAAAAGGTAAAACTCTGATTGGTCATTAAACTAACACATCAGCATCATTGGACAGTTAGGAACAACACTCCTTGACTGCTTCTTGCAGGAAAATGAGGCAACAAACAACACCTCTAAAGGTTGTTTTCCCTCTCTAATCGCTGTTTGGATTCCTCCTCATGATTTCTGAGGCCAGAGTGAGAAAGTTGTGAGACTTAGATTCACACAGGCTCAATCTAATGCCTGAAGCCTAAATATTTATTACTTGACTACTACCAGTTGCCACCTGCCCTACTCAATGGCACAGGCACATGTTTCTGTCTGGAAAAAGATCCACAGTGACTCAAAGGCTGGTGCAGCATAGCACAAACCTTTCCAGGCAAACAGGGATCAGCCACCAGCACACACTGAGCCCTGTGTTTGACAGAACCCTGTTTTCTTCACTTGCCCTCCAGCTCTTCAGGAAGGACAGTGTACATCTGTCTGTCTGTCCATTTGTCTCTCTTCTGCATGGTTTCTAGCTGCTTTCCTATTCTTTCCCATCTCTGAATCATGTTTTGACTCTCATTTCTTCTTGTCCTCACTATCTCACCTCATTTCTCTGCCATTCACAGACTGTTTCTCACCTTCCTCCTTTCATATATTTCTGTTTGTCCCCCTTAACTTTCCTTTCTGTCCTCTTACAACTATTCCTTTCCTATTTCCTATTCCCTTCCTTATCCATCTCTCCTTCCATGATATCAGTTCATGGCAGGTGGGGCAGGATATAGAATAGTTCACACAGCCCTTTCTTTCTCTACCAGCTGGACACACAAGGCCCACAGGTCCTTGGCCCCAGTTGTCTCCAGGGAATGGGCACAATGCTGTGTCCCAGGGGCCCCAAGTTACTACCCTGTGACCTGAACACCCTGATGGTTATGATATGACCCTGGTCTTGACAGTATCCAGGAACTGCAGGCAAAGAGCCCCAGGCAGCAGCAGATACTCATGGCTACGATCGCTCCCTGAGCACTTCTTCCTGCCCTCCTGAAACTTTAATTTCTTGTCTTCCTTTCACTTCGTGTTCTTTTCTAGATTTTTGCCTTTTTATCTTCCTTCCTTCCTTTTCTCCTGCTTTCTTCCTTGCATTCCTCCATTTCTGTCTCCTGTTCCCACCTCCCTCCCAGCTATAAGTCCTTTCTTCCTGCACCTTTTCTGTCTTCTCTCCTCACTTCCCACCTTCCTGTCACTTAACCTTCTTTTCTCCTTGGGATTTGAGAAAGCACAGCCTCATTCTGGGACTCTGCAAACACAGAACATGATATCCCAATCAGCCTCCTGGCAAGGACCAACTCTTCAACATGGCAGATCCAAAGTCTCTATGGAATGCCCTGCCTCCTGCTGACCTCCTGGCAAAACATCACCCTCATCCCTCTTCCATTCCTCATGCAGTTGTATAAGCAGGCTCAAAGAAAGGATAACATGCTGCAGCTGCTAGTGTTCCCAGAAGAAGGGGGACAGGCAATGTTTGAGGATGCATTTCAGAATCACTTCAAGAACTGATGAAATATGGGCTATTGCTTGTAAAGAACAGAGACGATGTTCTGCCTCAGAAACAAGAGCAAGTAACCGACTGAAAGACTCCTGATGATGAGTCTGCAAAGTGTTCTGAAACGCTGTCAATTGAGAGGCACTACAGATAATAAATATTTTCCCTTGAGTCATGTTCACTACTGCTGTGCTCCGTATCACAGCCGGTAGAAATTCACAGATAAACAGTGAACAATATAGGGGTGCCTGAAAGTCTTTATTAATTTTTCATAATATTTGCTTGTCCAAATCCAAAAGAACAGAAATGATGGTGAGAAAATACAGGTCACGCCAAAAAAGGAACTCAGTTGGAGGCCACGGTGGATTGGATCCAGGAGATGTAGTTGCAAACCTTGGTGTAAACTCCGGGATGGCCCTTCTCAGCACATCCAATACCCCAGGAAACAATGCCCTGGAGCTGTCCATTGCAGACCACGGGGCCGCCGGAATCTTCCTGTGCACACAAAGGGTATGGATATTCAGCAAATGGCATCAGCCTAAGCAATGAGCCAGAGATGCCTGAGATCACTGTTTTGGGAGGAAGCCCTGTCAGGCATACTCTGCACAAAACTTCTACAAAGGCTCTTTCTGATTTGCACTTTCCACCTGATGCTACCATGACTGACTTGAGCTCCAAGGGCACCACTAAGGATGAGTCAGCTGCCCATTTTTACCACAATTTACCACAGGATGTGGTACTTGGCAAACATTCAGGATATGTGTGCCCAAAGCCTCTGCTGTCACTGAAAAACTCAGATGTGCCAATGCAAGCTGGCAGTGTAATGTGAAGGCCTCTTCCTTCATCTGGGTAAAGGCAGGAGAGAAATGACTGGGAAAGGAGAGGCAGATGATTTACCTGGCAGGAGTCTTTTCCTCCCTCCAGGAATCCTACACACATCATGTTCTTGGTGATTTGCCCGGGGTAGGCATTGGAGCACTCGGCGGCAGAGAGGACCGGAGCATCCAGGCACTGCAGTTCGTCTGGGTACTCAACTGCAAGGAAATAGGGAGAGATGGTTGATGGCTGCTGAGACCTTTTCACAGCTTGGAGATAATCTTAGCAGAAAAGCAAATGCTGGCTCCCCTGTTCTAGCAGCCATCCTGCGTCCTCTCAACTGTAAACACTGAGTAGGTTCATTCTGTAGAGATGGAACAAATTCTACCCGTGGGCTCACCCTTCTACACTGCAGTCACCTTAGATTTTCTGCTCCCTGGAATTTCATCAATTGGCAAGAATGGGGCCAATCTTGTCATATATGCACTGGAAGAAACTTGAGCCTCAGGAAAACTGTCTTCTGCTCCTGTGCAGGTTTAGATGTGATCAGTGGAATAATCACCACTTGCCGTGGACATCTCTGACCATGGGTGTGAAAGAATGGAGGTCTCTCATAGAAATTCTAGAGACACAGTCCCAGACTTCATCTTTCTTCTCAGGGAACTGACAATTCTATTGACATTTTGCATGCACTGTGCAGTCCCTAGACTGACCCATTGCTCAAAACACCTGTCCCACAACACTTCCCTATGTTTTAGCCTGTCCTGTTGGAGCTTGATGGTGAGGTCTTAGAGTCTGTCCTGGGCCCCCAAGGGTCTGTACATTCCCCCAGAGTACTCACTGCCATTGCTGAGAGTGTTGCCCCAGCCGGAGATCAGGCAGGTGGTGCCGGTGGCCACGCAGCTGGTAGGCAGAGGAACGGTTTGGACAGCTTTGTTGAGCTGGGCTGGGGTGGCCAGCTTGATGAGCATGATGTCACTATCTGCATTTTGGGCACTGAAGCCAGGGTGGCGGATGACTTTAGTAGAGTTGATGAACTGCTCAGTGGATTCAGTGAGTTCCAGGTTGTGTTTCCCCAGCTGCACTTGGATGCGACTGGAAAAGAGAAGGTAAAGTCATGCCCTTTACTGCTCCGGCAGCCTGAGAGAAACCTCCCTGTCAGTGAATGCATTCGCTCCAACATCACTGCCACAGAAGCCTTCTGGGGCAGGGGATCTTTCTTGTCCTGCAGGGAGCCCTGGGGATCCACACCGAGATCTTTACCCACTCCCAGTCCAGGTGGTGAATTTCTGCAGGTTTGTAAATACATGACAGCAGTTGAATACATAGCAGCCCCCTTTCTACAAATGTTCTGGGACAAGGGAAACTCTTCTGGCCTGACCCCATTCCTCTTCCTGTTCTCCAGGGACAATGCTTTAGCAAGATTCATGCAATGGATAAGAAATGGATAAGAAAGCCTGGAACTGGTTGCTTGACTATCCCATTGTTATGTCAGAAAGTGCTCTGCTTTCACAGAAACATTTGCAGAAGTGGAAAACCCCACAGCATGCCTTGGCCCTGCTTCCTAAATGGTCCACCTGTGCCTCGGCTGTCTGTGGTCAGAATGGAGGCAGTTACATATTTCTGTCTCAGAGCTCAGAATTCCTGCTAGAAGGGAACTGGAAGACAGATGGGGGTTATGGAAGGATGTAATTTTTCCACTCACGATTTGTAACAGTGAGCAGCCGACAGGACCCACTGGCTGCTGATGAGGGAACCTCCACAGAAGTGATATCCAGAATTCAGAGACACCTGATAGGGCACAGAGTGTTCTGCACAGGTGTAGCCTCCCACAATCTTGTCATCATCATCTTCAGCAAAGGTGGGGAAGGCAACTGGGAGACAAGAAGTGCCATGTGTCAATAGCTGGCCTAAGGTAATGTGGCCTGTAATCTGCCCTGTGACTGCCTGTCTGAGGCCCCTCACTTGTAGGCTCCCCTTCTACGGGCACTCAGGGCAGCAGTGGTGGGCAGGTCTAAGGCACATTCATTTGCTGCACCCTCAAAGAAGGGGATCACACCTGCACTGGTGCCTCACATATGTGCAGCTAAAGCCTTGCTGGCTACTCCCTGAGGGAACATAAGGACATAGAAATGTTCTAGTTGGATCGGATCACGAGCGTGTCTTTCCGAGGGTCCTGTCTATGAAACAGTCAAGGGTTGACGAAGGGAAAAGGTCAAAACAGGTGTGCAGTGCTATTTTCTTGGAGCACCAACCCAGGGTCCAAAATTTTGCAGTTGCTTTTTGACTTCCTGGGCCAGAACTATTCCCTGTGCACTCCTTAGTCCTGAAGAAGGAGGCAGCCGATTCCTGAAGCTATGGCCACATCTCTACAGCTGGGTCAGGAACTCCATGCCAATGAAGGCGTTCATTCCCCAGCTTGTGGCACAAGGCATTATGAAGAGACAGAAGATGGAAGTTGCAGGGCTCTGCCTTCTGCAAGTCAAAACTGGACTTGGCTTTCCCACAATAAGCTACCTTGCAGTTTTTCTCAGAAAATCAGCTTCCTATTAAATGGCAGAAATAGAAAGAAAAAATACACTCACCAGCCACCCCAATAAAGGCGAGAAGCAGCAGGCACTTCATGGTCTTGGTTCAGCCTCAAGCCCAGACTGGCTGATTGGATGTGGGAGCTGCTAGAAATACGTTTTTGGTAATCTGGTTATGGTCTTATCTCTAGTCCAAGGTTTTCTCCAGACAAAAGTACACAGCTGAAAATTTGAAGATCCAAATGTGGGCATTATCAGGCATTTGTAGAATGTACAAATAACATTTCCGTTAATCATAAACCTCTGCTAAGATAGAGAGCTATTTTAATTATTCTGTAAGGTAGCCTTCAATCTAAAAATACCTTTTGGCTTTGGAAGATGTACAGTTGTTTGTCTGTCTCATTCTTATATAGAACACCTGTTGAGAACAACTCTCAAACCTCTTTCCAATTCCTCTGTGCTGATGATATCTTTCTTAAAAATGCATATTTTCACCTGAGGTTGGATGTTGTAGGTAGTGGACAGAAAGATACATTCCATTGTGGATACTAAATGCAAAAAGCAAGCAGGGAACAGAGCCTGTGTGAAATGAAGTCACACAGGCTTCTCACTCTGGCCTGGGAAAGCATAACAAGGAATCCAAACTGTCCTTGGTAAAGGACAGCAATCGGTAGGCATTGTTTAGTCAAGGGGTGGCGTTCCACTTAACCCATGATGGTGATGTGCTACTTTAATGACCAATGAGAGTTTTACCCCTCAGACCTTCTCGAACACGTGTGTAAAAGAAGATTAAGAATAATAAACTTTGCTCTCTTGAACAATGCGGCTAAGAGAGTCATGTCACACTGCTTCACCATTCCTAATATAGTACGACATTGCATTTATTTGGAAAAATAAATCCAGCAAACCTAGTGGTTAACATTTTTAAGTTTCTTTTAGCAAATTCCTTTTCTTGAATAATGTGTGATTTTTCATATGCAACACAGTGTTTTCCTAAATCAAATTCCTCCATTGTAATTCCAAAAGGGAGGATAGGAAAACTATCCTGTGCCCCCCATCACATCCCAAGTTAAATAGTTCCAATGTGGGAGTACACAGCATCTCCCTTTTCTAATTTCTCTCTCCTAACCTGTGTTAAAATATCTGCCTAAGTACCAAACCATGCTTTTATTCATCTTTGGAATATTCTACAGAGGCTCATTTTTGCCACACAAGAATTTCCATATATTGGTGATGTTTATGAATGTAATGTAGATGAGCAATAATGCTGTGAACACAAATAGTGAGATCTTGTGAAATCCCTCTCTGTAGAAGTGGGGATTTCTGTCATGACGTGTTGAGATGAAAAATGAGGGATGGGACCACCATGCTATTTAAGATGATTTATTGCTCAAGTAAGCCAGATAAGATATCAGTCTTGAAGGTGTGATATTTGGAGAGGAGAAACAAGTCAGCCATAGCTCAAGGTAGTCACAGGTTTCTTCTTCACACAGCAATATATAACATTTTGGTCCAATAGACAGCTAACATGAAACTTGTTTCTACTTCATAACCTATCACCTTTCCCTAATTTTGCTGCACTGCATCTGTCTTTCAGCCAATAAACTGATACCCATATACACCTTTAGTACAGCTTCTAGATCCTTAACCTAGTCTGTAGGTCACATTATTACAGCTAAACTTCTCACTATTTTACCTAATATAATTTCTTACCTACTCAAGGCATATCCTTACTTGCAATTATAGGAACCTAAGTTTATAATTTTTCTACTTAATGTCTGTGTACTTACGCCATTACATTAACTCAAGCTCTTTGTGAGGCTGCAGCTTGAACCCTTCAGCATCTGTGGAAGTTTCTATTTTTCCGTTTCCCACAGACCTGGGGATCCTGATGGACACAAAGCTGTCCATAAGTCAGCATGGTGTTCTGATGGCCAAGAAGCCAATGGTACCCTGGGGTGCATTAGGAAGAGCATTGCCAGCAGGGTGAGGGAGATGATCCTGCCACTCTACTCAGCCCTGGTGAGGCACATCTGCAGTGCAGTGTCCACTTCTGAACTCCTTGGTACAAAACATCCAAGGAGCTCCTGGAGAAGGTCCAGGACAGGAGAAGAAAGATGATGGATAAAGTGGAACACCAATTTCCTAAACAAAGCTTGAGGGAGCTGGGCATGTTCAGCCTTGAGAAGAAACTACTAAGTGGCCACTTCACCAATCTCTACAAGAATCTGAAGACAGTGTTCCAAGAGGTGGATCCAGGTTCTTCATGGTGATACCAAGCACTAGGACAAGAGGCAATGGGCAGAAAATGATGCACAGGAAGTTCCACTTGAATCTGAGGTAAGAGCTTTGCAGTCTTGGTGACTGTACATTGGAGCAGATTGCCCCAAGAACTAGTGGAGTCTCTCCCTCTCTCAGGAGATATTCCAGAACCACCAGGATACAATCCTGTGCCATGTGCTTTGGGATGATTCTGCTTGAGCATGGAGGTTGGAGCAGTGACCCCCTGAGGTCCCTTCTTAGCTGAGCTGTTCTGTGATTCTGTCTTGCGTAAGACACACCTGTGCATAGCACAGGCCTGCACAGGCCACTCCAGGTGGTTCCCATTCTGAAGATTTCCATGTTAACATCCAAGCTTCTCAGGACCTAAAGGGCCCCTCAGGGCCCTACATAGCAGCCATGCCTGTTCAACATCACTAACTCCTCAAATTCCGTGTTTTCAGCAAGGCTCCCTAGGCACTAGCCTCTGCACTCCCCAGGGAATTGGAGACCCTTTCCATGGACACATCAGGCACAGCCTCCTCTCAGCTGGAGTGGTTGGGTGGTGTGAGGATGTGGGGTTTCTACAACGTAGCCCACTTTCTTTACAGTTTTCTTCTGCTTCTTTAGAGGAATCTGGGGTCCTTCCTGAATCTTCTCCAGGCAGCTGTGGGAAATGAATGCAATGGGACACACTCAGACCTGCAGTGGACTATTTGTGTGCTAGAGGCATTGCTGCTCTCCTCTGCTGATAGGACACAGGGGAACATTTTCACTGCAAAGTCCATGACAGCCTTGAGCAGTTGGATCACTTGATGTCTTCTATAGGTCAGCTTTACACTGCCTTGCGGTGGTGGGCACTCAGCACAGCGCAGATGTGCAGGGTCTCTGTCAGACCTCTGTACACAAACTCAGTGCACACAAGCTATGAGTGTCTCTGCCTGCCTACAGGGATTCCCCACTGCCTTGGGCAGGTGAACAAGGCTGTCTGGAGAGAAGAGGACAAGATTTTCTCCAGCTTTGTCCATTTGTGTCCAGTTGCTCTTTTGCAGAGTGCTGCAATAAAGAGGCAAGGAGAGTATCTGTTCTTCTCTGACATGGAGAAGGTCAGTCTGTAGCAGCACATCTTGTGGGGCACACACTTCTCAGAAGTCTCCCTGAGGTGCAGTCTCTCAAGGGGCAGTCCCTGTGCAAAGGCAGCCTGTTCTCTCCTTGAGATCCCTGTTGGAGTTAGAGAAGAACAGTTACAGATCTATTTTCTGTCATGCCCCAAGAGACACCAGGTTGGCAGGTCAGCAGCTTTTCCCATACCTGGACAACGTGTCAGGCCTGACTGACATAAGCCGTGATTCCATAGTGCAGCTTGCAGGGTTGGGAGTGTGAGGGTGGCTAGAGAGGAGAAAAAGAGCAGGACACAAACACAAACATGCCTTCCTGGGATCTCCTTCTCTTCCCATCATCTCCTGCCATTTGGTGCGTTTCTGTGCACATGCTCAGCCTGCCATACAGCCCCATCCTGCTCCGTGATAGCACTGAACTCTGCCACCTACTGAGCTCCCAGCTACTCATGCACACCCGCCTCACACACAGCACGAAGCCAGAGGAGCAGAGAACAAGCACCTCATGACTGCCTGCAGGTGTCATTCCCCACCATTCCTGGACAGCCAACTGCCTTGTCACATCTCAGACTCCTGTTCACTCCCCTGCCCACCCACAGAGAGACGTATCTCTTCCTCTCCACCTCTCCTCTTTCACATCTCCGTGTCGGTGGTGTCACTAGGGGCAGATTGCTGGAAGGAGGGAGCCCTTCTCTATGGATTTCCACCGGCTCCTTGTGGCCATCCTGCTGCATGGGGGTAAGTGGGCTTCCCTTCCTGAGCAGCTGCACTGGAGCTGCTGCTGTCTCCTCGGCTTTGCTCTCAATTGCGGGCAATGCCCCTTCCCCAAGGCATCCAGAGGGAGAATGGGCAATGAACCAGCTTTTCCACCACCATTGAATCAGAAAACTCAGCAAAACCACAAATCTGTTTTTTTTCCTGCCCATTTTTAATACTTCACTTGAGAGTACCAAGGACATTACTTCTCAAAGCAGATTTCCTAGTGCATTTGAAGCTGGTTTGTTTGGGGTGTTTTGATCCTATGTGTCTTTTGCAGAGAAGCAGGGCACTCTCCCAAAGCTTTCTGATATCCTGGTGGCATTCCATCCCGTGAACTACTTCAGGGATGTGTATTCTTGTCCTCTTCAATGCATTTCACTTCCCAGCTTTCTCTTCTGTCTTTCTCTCCAGGCTGGGCCCTTCAGCAGTCACCAGATACAGTTGTCCGAGTGGGAGACCCTGTGACCCTGGAATGTTCTGCATCACAGAAAAATTTTGTAAACATGTACTGGTACAAGTTAGCCATGGAGAAGGATGCCAATATGCAGTTGGTTGTATATTCAGTGGAAGGAGGCAAAGCAGATATTGAGAAGGAATTCCAAAATCGCTTTCAGAGTAATGGGACTAAGAACAACCACTTATCTGTGAAGATACAGTATGCCCTACTCAATGACACAGGCACATATTTCTGTGCTGAACAAGATTCACACTGACTCAAAGGCCAGTACAGCATAGCACAAACCTTTCCAGGCAAACAGGGATCAGCCACCAGCACACACTGAGCCCTGTGTTTGACAGAACCCTGTTTTCTTCACTTGCCCTCCAGCTCTTCAGGAAGGACAGTGTATGTATGCCTGTCTGTCCATCTGTCATGACATTCCCATCTCTGAATCACCTTTTGACTCTTGTTTCTTCTTGTCCTCACTGATTCATCTAATTTCTATGCCATTCACAGACTGCTTCTCATTATTTTCTTTCATATCTTTCTCTCTGTCCCCTGAGTTTTACTCTGTCCTCTTACACCTATTCCTTTCCTATTTCCTATTCCCTTCCTCATCCATCTCTCCTACCTTTCAGTCTTTGACATCAATTCATGGTGTGGGAAGCAGGATGTGGAATAGTTCACACAGCACCATCATATGAATGGACAAAAGCCCACAGGTCCTTGGCCCCACTGGGGCCACATCTCCACATCTCCAGGTAATGGGCACACTGCTGTGCACCAGTTACACCACTACCCTGTGACTTGAACACTCTGATGTTCGAGAATTGTCTCTGCCCACAGCAGGAGGCTGCCCAGGCTGGACATGGAATGTCTCTGATGACCTTGTCAAGGACCAGGTGGAAGAAGTCCGAGTGGACCTTTCAGCAGGGGTTGTTGTTGTTTCTGAGTATCCTGTCTGGCCCATCCACTACATCCCAGGCTGCTTGCAGAGGGCTGCCCTAACTTGCTTATTTCTCTTTATCTCCAGTTTAAAACAGAGTGCAAAGGCCCAAGAGAATCCAATGCGTGCATAAATTTTCATAATCCATCAAGAACAGAAGCTGGAAATTCTTTACTGGAGTGCTGTGGCTACGTGCCTCAGGGGAGGCAAAAGAGTTACATTGTCTGACCCCATTCCCCTTGTGAAGGGCGGCCCAGGAGTTCTGATTGAGTTTGAGTCCCTGGGGGGGTTTCTCTCTTACTGTGTTTCTAGTGGTCACTGACCCTGAACTCCACCCTCAAGGGTGGAGACCCTCGGGAGTTCTGTCCCTCAAAAACCCCGGCTCTGCCTTTGTTCGGGGCTCTCTGTTCTGGATCTGAGTTTGTTCATGTGCTGAATAAATAGTTTCATGGACCGGGAGCCCGTCTTGTTGGTGTTCCATGCTGGTCCCCAGAACCCTGCAGCTTCCCTGGACGAGATCCTGAGGTTGCGGACTGCAACAGAGTGTGACTCTCAGGCTTGGTCAGGGGAGCTGCAGCTCATTCCACAGCTAGGGGACACGGAGATGCTGTCTAGTACTCAAGTTGTTGTGGTTTAAGCCCAGTCAGGCACCTGCTGTTAAAGCTGCGCACTTACAACACGCTTCCCTGGTGGGATAGGAAAAAGGGTAAAACTCACAGGTTGAGATACAAGCAGAGCAAAAATAGGAGTAAATAAAAAGGAAAACAGAGAGAAATAAAACTCAAGTCAATCCATGTGATGCACAATACTGTCACTCATGACCCACTGACACAGTGTCCAGCCCATCCCAGAGCAGTGATAGGCAGCAGCTGGCCAGCTCCCCTCAGTTTCCATACTGAGCATCATGTTGAATGGTAGGAAATATCCTTTTGGCCAGTTTGGGTCAGCTCTCCTGGAAATGCTCCTTTCCACCTACACGTGCCCCTGCTCTCTGGCAGAGTATGAGGCACAGTAAAGTCCTGGATTAGGGGTAAGCAGTACTTAATTACAGCTAAAACGTACCACCGTAATTCTCGTAGTCAATTCAGAACACAGCACTATGCCACAGTCTCCACCTGTTAATCCTGCCTCCTGTCTAGCACCCAAATTCAGTTTTCCTCAGAACTTCCACTGAAATTTCTCCTTCAGCAAAACCTTGAACTGGGTGACACCCCATGAGCCTCCTCCTTCCCAGCATTATGAGGCAGAAGTTCCCCCAAGGGATTCTAGCCCATTTCCACTTGTTTCTCCTTCCCTATTGTCAGGGAGAGCTCCTGGCACAGGAAGGAGAAGGATGAGGGAAAAGTGCTGCCAGCAGACCTCAGCAGAATGGCCTGTGTCTCCTTCCCTGTGTTCCTTTCACCCTTGCCACTGTCCCAGATGTCATCCCTGTGCTCACTGGGTTCCCCAGTTATCCCATGCAGATTTGTCCCATGCAGGAGAGGACACGTGGGTTTTCTTCAGAGCACAAACAGCTGAGGGCGCAGTGGAGAGGCTGCAGTGGCCTGGGTCTCCTCAGCCTGTGAGCAGAGCAGCAGGGAGGTGTCACTGGCAGAGCTTGAGTGAATGAAATTGCACTGCACTGCTGCTTTCCAGACACCAGTGCTCTCCCTGGCTGCATCCCAGTGGAAGCCTCCACACCCCACCGGAGAACCAGTCCTGTCAGGAAAGCAAATCTCCGTGTAGAGGTTCATTCTCAGGACAGAGGGGGCAATGACACAGATGCTCTCTGTCCCTGAGGAGCAATCCGTGAATTTGCCAGAAGAAGTGTGTGCCTGAAATCGAACCTCCAGAAGCCCTTGTGCCACAGGCAGCACCAGTCAGGGACAGCCTGGGCTCCCCAGCTAGGCCCCAGGCCCCAGGGAGAAGCCATCTCTGGAGGTACTTTGCCTATTTCCTGTCCCCACGGAGAGGTTACCCTGACACCCATCCTCAGCACCTTGTCATCCTCTTGGCTGTCCCTGTGGGCCACGCTCCATCCCTTCTCTCTTCCCATGCCAGGGCATTGACTGTCCCTCAGCTCTGCACAGCTATTTACCTTCCTCTCCTACCGCTCTCACTGCAATGTCCATGAGAGCCCTCAGAGGCCTGGGTGCTTGGGCTGCTGTGGTGTCTGTCGGGGGCCTGCCTCCCTCTCACTGATGTTATTTGTGTGCTCGCAGTGCTGCACAGAGAAAAAGAGCTGTCACTTAGTAGGGTGGGATGGGGGGTGGCCAGGCAGGAACTGAACCAGCCATGCCTGGGGAAGAGAGGGAAAGTGTATGGGAAAATTCAAGGGACCTCTATGTGGCCCTCATCCCTCATTCCTCCATCTCCCAAAGGCTTCAGAAGCAGAAGTGGAGCAGCCAGCATTCCTCTGCCTTGCCCACACTCAGCCTCCTGTGCAACCTCTCTGCCCCTACAACCCCATCCTTCCTCCACACCCACCCCCGCCCAGCCTGCCCTTTCCACCTGCTGCATCTCTGCAGGGTTTCTGCTTCCCTGCCATCCTTTGTGTCATTCCCCAGGGTTCCCAGCCAGCCAATGCCTTCTCTCATTTCTTGGCCGGCCCCACCCCGAGATGTCTCACCCTCACTGTCTGCTGCCTCTTCATGTATCTGTGGGCAGCTACAAGAGGCAGGCTGCTGAGAGGGTCGGGGCTTCTCCCCCATGGTTCCCTGCTGGTTTTTTGTGGCCATGCTGGCCCCTCTGGGTAAGTGAACTCAACTCAGCCTTGAGCATGTCCATCAATCCCACGGCTACTCTCCCAGCTTTGTAGCCACTTCCTGGCAGTGCTTCATTCTGCAGAGCTCCCTGTGTTGAGGACAAGCAGTGAATGTGGGATTCAGGAATCCCTGAATCTTCTGCAATGGCCATGTATTTGTCATTCTTTGTGCAGCCTGGAGATGGTGTCTGGATTGGACTCAAACTGCCCAGGAATGTATTTTGCCTATTGTAGCGAGATTGGAAATTCACTTGCTGACCTGAAGAGCTGTCCAAGGACTTGAACTGCTTCCGTGGCTGCCCTATTTCTTCCCACCCTTTCCCTGCCAACCCACTGTGCCTAGTTCAAACTTTTCCCATTTTTTCCTTCTCATCACTGCTCCATCTTTCCCTTTCCAGTGTTAGCCCTGGAACAGTCTCAAGACCTGGTGATAAAAGAAGGCCAGTCCGTGAATCTGGAATGTTCCAAGAAGAAATCCAGCAGCACAGCTATGTACTGGTTCATGCTGCTTTCAGAGAAGAATTCCAGGCTGACCCAGCTGGCTTCTGCAATAGAAGGTGGTAACCCTGCAGTGGAGAAGAGTTTTGGGGGTCATTTCAAGAGCAGCAAGATCAAAGGAGACAGTATCACCCTTTCAATAGAACATGCCTTTCTCAATGACTCTGGCACATATTACTGTGCAGAAGATAAGCACAGTGGTGAGACTGAAGAGGGAGCTGAGCACAACCATCTCCCTGCACAAACAGGACCTGCTTTCCACATTGTGGGTGCAGCAGGATTCAGTCACATATTTCTGTGCTGAACAAGATCCACAGTGACTCAAAGGCTGGTGCAGCATAGCACAAACCTTTCCAGGCAAACAGGGATCAGCCACCAGCACACACTGAGCCCTGTGTTTGACAGAACCCCGTTTTCTTCACTTGCCTTCCAGCTCTTCAGGAAAGACAGTGTACATCTGTCTGTCTGTCCATTTGTCTCTCTTCTGCATGGTTTCTAGCTGCTTTCCTATTCTTTCCCATCTCTGAATCATGTTTTGACTCTCATTTCTTCTTGTCCTCACTATCTCACCTCATTTCTCTGCCATTCACAGACTGTTTCTCACCTTCCTCCTTTCATATATTTCTGTTTGTCCCCCTTAACTTTCCTTCTCTGTCCTCTTACAACTATTCCTTTCCTATTTCCTGTTCCCTTCCTCATCCATCTCTCCTTCCTTTCTGCAATATCAGTTCATGGCAGGTGGGGCAGGATGTAGAATAGTTCACACAGCCCTTTCTTTCTCTACCAGCTGGACACACAAGGCCCACAGGTCCTTGGCCCCAGTTGTCTCCAGGGAATGGGCACAATGCTGTGTCCCAGGGGCCCCAAGTTACTACCCTGTGACCTGAACACCCTGATGGTTATGATATGACCCTGGTCTTGACAGTATCCAGGAACTGCAGGCAAAGAGCCCCAGGCAGCAGCAGATACTCATGGCTACGATCACTCCCTGAGACTTTTATTCTACCCTCCTTCAACTTTAATTTCTTGTAGTCCTTTTAGTTTATGTCCTTTTCCAGATTTTTTTGCCTTTTTATCTTCCTTCCTTCCTTTTCTCCTGCTTTCTTCCTTGCATTCCTCCATTTCTGTCTCCTGTTCCCACTTCCCTCCCAGCATTCTTCCTGCACCTTTTCTGTCTTTTCACTTCCCACCTTCCTCTCTCCTAACCTTCTTTTCTCTTTGGGATTTGGGAAAGCACAGCCTCATTCTGGGACTCTGCAAACACAGAACATGATATCCCAATCAGCCTCCTGGCAAGGACCAACTCTTCAACATGGCAGATCCAAAGTCTCTATGGAATGCCCTGCCTCCTGCTGACCTCCTGGCAAAACATCACCCTCATCCCTCTTCCATTCCTCATGCAGTTGTATAAGCAGGCTCAAAGAAAGGATAACATGCTGCAGCTGCTAGTGTTCCCAGAAGAAGGGGGACAGGCAATGTTTGAGGATGCATTTCAGAATCACTTCAAGAACTGATGAAATATGGGCTATTGCTTGTAAAGAACAGAGACGATGTTCTGCCTCAGAAACAAGAGCAAGTAACCGACTGAAAGACTCCTGATGATGAGTCTGCAAAGTGTTCTGAAACGCTGTCAATTGAGAGGCACTACAGATAATAAATATTTTCCCTTGAGTCATGTTCACTACTGCTGTGCTCCGTATCACAGCCGGTAGAAATTCACAGATAAACAGTGAACAATATAGGGGTGCCTGAAAGTCTTTATTAATTTTTCATAATATTTGCTTGTCCAAATCCAAAAGAATAGAAATGATGGTGAGAAAATACAGGTCACGCCAAAAAAGGAACTCAGTTGGAGGCCACGGTGGATTGGATCCAGGAGATGTAGTTGCAAACCTTGGTGTAAACTCCGGGATGGCCCTTCTCAGCACATCCAATACCCCAGGAAACAATGCCCTGGAGCTGTCCATTGCAGACCACGGGGCCGCCGGAATCTTCCTGTGCACACAAAGGGTATGGATATTCAGCAAATGGCATCAGCCTAAGCAATGAGCCAGAGATGCCTGAGATCACTGTTTTGGGAGGAAGCCCTGTCAGGCATACTCTGCACAAAACTTCTACAAAGGCTCTTTCTGATTTGCACTTTCCACCTGATGCTACCATGACTGACTTGAGCTCCAAGGGCACCACTAAGGATGAGTCAGCTGCCCATTTTTACCACATTTTTACCACAGGATGTGGTACTTGGCAAACATTCAGGATATGTGTGCCCAAAGCCTCTGCTATCACTGAAAAACTCAGATGTGCCAATGCAAGCTGGCAGTGTAATGTGAAGGCCTCTTCCTTCATCTGGGTAAAGGCAGGAGAGAAATGACTGGGAAAGGAGAGGCAGATGATTTACCTGGCAGGAGTCTTTTCCTCCCTCCAGGAATCCTACACACATCATGTTCTTGGTGATTTGCCCGGGGTAGGCATCGGAGCACTCGGCGGCAGAGAGGACCGGAGCATCCAGGCACTGCAGTTCTTCCGGGTACTCAACTGCAAAGAAATAGGGAGAGATGGTTGATGGCTGCTGAGACCTTTTCACAGCTTGGAGATAATCTTAGCAGAAAAGCAAATGCTGGCTCCCCTGTTCTAGCAGCCATCCTGCGTCCTCTCAACTGTAAACACTGAGTAGGTTCATTCTGTAGAGATGGAACAAATTCTACCCGTGGGCTCACCCTTCTACACTGCAGTCACCTTAGATTTTCTGCTCCCTGGAATTTCATCAATTGGCAAGAATGGGGCCAATCTTGTCATATATGCACTGGAAGAAACTTGAGCCTCAGGAAAACTGTCTTCTGCTCCTGTGCAGGTTTAGATGTGATCAGTGGAATAATCACCACTTGCCGTGGACATCTCTGACCATGGGTGTGAAAGAATGGAGGTCTCTCATAGAAATTCTAGAGACACAGTCCCAGACTTCATCTTTCTTCTCAGGGAACTGACAATTCTATTGACATTTTGCATGCACTGTGCAGTCCCTAGACTGACCCATTGCTCAAAACACCTGTCCCACAACACTTCCCTATGTTTTAGCCTGTCCTGTTGGAGCTTGATGGTGAGGTCTTAGAGTCTGTCCTGGGCCCCCAAGGGTCTGTACATTCCCCCAGAGTACTCACTGCCATTGCTGAGAGTGTTGCCCCAGCCGGAGATCAGGCAGGTGGTGCCGGTGGCCACGCAGCTGGTAGGCAGAGGAACAGTTTGGACAGCTTTGTTGAGCTGGGCTGGGGTGGCCAGCTTGATGAGCATGATGTCATTGTCCAGGGTGTAGGGGTTGAAGCCAGGGTGGCGGATGACTTTAGCAGAGTTGATGAACTGCTGAGTGGATTCGCTGAGTTCCAGGTTGTGTTTCCCCAGCTGCACTTGGATGCGACTGGAAAAGAGAAGGCAAAGGTGTGTCTTTTACTGCTCCTGGCAGCTTCAGAGAAACCTCCCTGTCAGTGAATGTATTCGCTCCAACATCACTGCCACAGAAGCCTTCTGGGGCAGGGGATCTTTCTTGTCCTGCAGGGAGCCCTGGGGATCCACACCGAGATCTTTACCCACTCCCAGTCCAGGTGGTGAATTTCTGCAGGTTTGTAAATACATGACAGCAGTTGAATACATAGCAGCCCCCTTTCTACAAATGTTCTGGGACAAGGGAAACTCTTCTGGCCTGACCCCATTCCTCTTCCTGTTCTCCAGGGACAATGCTTTAGCAAGATTCATGCAATGGATAAGAAATCACAGCCTGGAACTGGTTGCTTGACTATCCCATTGTTATGTCAGAAAGTGCTCTGCTTTCACAGAAACATTTGCAGAAGTGGAAAACCCCACAGCATGCCTTGGCCCTGCTTCCTAAATGGTCCACCTGTGCCTCGGCTGTCTGTGGTCAGAATGGAGGCAGTTACATATTTCTGTCTCAGAGCTCAGAATTCCTGCTAGAAGGGAACTGGAAGACAGATGGGGGTTATGGAAGGATGTAATTTTTCCACTCACGATTTGTAACAGTGAGCAGCCGACAGGACCCACTGGCTGCTGATGAGGGAACCTCCACAGAAGTGATATCCAGAATTCAGAGACACCTGATAGGGCACAGAGTGTTCTGCACAGGTGTAGCCTCCCACAATCTTGTCATCATCATCTTCAGCAAAGGTGGGGAAGGCAACTGGGAGACAAGAAGTGCCATGTGTCAATAGCTGGCCTAAGGTAATGTGGCCTGTAATCTGCCCTGTGACTGCCTGTCTGAGGCCCCTCACTTGTAGGCTCCCCTTCTACGGGCACTCAGGGCAGCAGTGGTGGGCAGGTCTAAGGCACATTCATTTGCTGCACCCTCAAAGAAGGGGATCACACCTGCACTGGTGCCTCACATATGTGCAGCTAAAGCCTTGCTGGCTACTCCCTGAGGGAACATAAGGACATAGAAATGTTCTAGTTGGATCGGATCACGAGCGTGTCTTTCCGAGGGTCCTGTCTATGAAACAGTCAAGGGTTGACGGAGGGAAAAGGTCAAAACAGGTGTGCAGTGCTATTTTCTTGGAGCACCAACCCAGGGTCCAAAATTTTGCAGTTGCTTTTTGACTTCCTGGGCCAGAACTATTCCCTGTGCACTCCTTAGTCCTGAAGAAGGAGGCAGCCGATTCCTGAAGCTATGGCCACATCTCTACAGCTGGGTCAGGAACTCCATGCCAATGAAGGCGTTCATTCCCCAGCTTGTGGCACAAGGCATTATGAAGAGACAGAAGATGGAAGTTGCAGGGCTCTGCCTTCTGCAAGTCAAAACTGGACTTGGCTTTCCCACAATAAGCTACCTTGCAGTTTTTCTCAGAAAATCAGCTTCCTATTAAATGGCAGAAATAGAAAGAAAAAATACACTCACCAGCCACCCCAATAAAGGCGAGAAGCAGCAGGCACTTCATGGTCTTGGTTCAGCCTCAAGCCCAGACTGGCTGACTGGATGTGGGAGCTGCTAGAAATACGTTTTTGGTAATCTGGTCTTATCTCTAGTCCAAGGTTTTCTCCAGACAAAAGTACACAGCTGAAAATTTGAAGATCCAAATGTGGGCATTATCAGGCATTGGTAGAATGTACAAATAACATTTCCGTTAATCATAAACCTCTGCTAAGATAGAGAGCTATTTTAATTATTCTGTAAGGTAGCCTTCAATCTAAAAATACCTTT